AGTCTTCAATCAGATCATAGTTTGATTAATTTCTCAGTCAATGTGTCCAAGCCGCCGCCAGTGAAAGTCAAAACCTCACGTCGCAATCTAAAGGAAATTATTCCCTCCGTCTTAAAAGCAAAACTTTTCTCTGCCTTTAACGAACACTGTGTTGATGGTGATGTTGATTACCTGTGTGATTACTACACACACTCAGTGGAAGCTATTCTAGATGAAATTGCTCCGGTAAAGACTGTACTTGTTTCTCAAAAACCCAGAGCACCATGGTTTTGTCTTGAGCTCTCTGAGCTACGCAAAACTGTGAGGAAAGCTGAACGTCAGTGGAAAAGCAGTGGTCTGGAAGTACATCACCAGATATTCAAGGGTAAACGTCTAGAATACTGTCGAAGAGCAGATGAAATCAAATCATCTTATCATCGAAATCGCATCGATAACTCTGATGTCAAAGGCCTTTTTTCAATTGTGGATGAGCTTACAGGCACAAAGAAAGCAGCATCTAGCATTAAACCTACATCATATGTTGAAAGTGATCTTGGTAACATTTTTCTCGATTACTTTGAAAAGAAAGTTACTGACCTCAGGAACTGTATAGATAAATCCTTATCTACAGCTTCAACTGATCGCTTGTGTCCATACTCTTTCCATAAGTTCACTACTGTTTCATTGGATACAGTCAAGAAGTTTGTGAAGAAGGCAAAGCCAACGTCGTCCATTCTTGATATTTACCTCCAACATTGATTGTAGAAAATATTGATGAACTTGTACCTTTTCTAACCCAACTTGTGAACAAATCGCTGGAAACTGGAAAAGTCCCTCTGTGTTTTAAGAAGGCAGTGATAAGACCACTGATAAAGAAGGCAGACCTTAATTCTAATGTCCTAAAAAACTATCGACCAATCTCGAATCTGTCATTTCTTTCCAAACTCCTGGAACGCATTGTTGCAAGTCAATTAAATGATTATTTGAGCAGTTTTTCCTTATATGCAAAATGCCAGTCTGCATATAGACCAAACCACAGTACAGAAACAGCCCTTCTTAAGGTGCAGAATGACATTCTCCAAGCCCTGAATGATCAATTCAATTCAATTTATTTCTGTACTGGTACATAGATTGTCATGACCTTGTACAATATGATATACAAATGACGATACAATACAGTTAGTGTATTACCATCTTTATATAATGAAGATAAGTACTAGTAAAATTACTCATAAAATATTCTATCTAAGCAATGAGATAAACCTTGGTGTGATTATAAATTTACCATAAACATACTATAAACATGTTACACAAAAAGAATATGTTTTTAAAGAACTTAAAACCACCGTTACATAGCTGTTTACATGGCTGCTTGATGACATTGATAATTACGATTAATGACAATTACATAAGACATATAAGTAAATCAGAAACATGTGATATTGATTCTTCTTGATCTATCAGCAGCTTTCGATACTCTCGATCACGACATATTGCTCCAACGACTTGCATATCGTTTTGGAATAACTGGGACAGCTCTCTCCTGGTTTCGGTCTTATCTAACTGGACGCGAGCAACATGTACGCATAGGCTCTTCTATTTCAAAATTAAGCAAATTACTTTATGGTGTGCCACAAGGCTCCGTGCTTGGTCCTATACTGTTTACACTCTACACCTCACCAATTGAGGATATAGTTGCTCAGTTTGGTTTCAATTTGATGTTGTATGCAGATGATTCCCAGATATATGTTATATGTGAAAATCCTTGTGATGAAAAAGCAACTATTGAGGCTTGTGTGAATGAACTTAGATCTTGGCTCAAGTCCAACTACTTAGTTTTTAATGATGAAAAAACTGAATTAGTCCATTTCAACTCTAAGTTTTCCAAAGACAATACTGCACTTGATAGTATTAAGGTTCGGGATTCTTTTATAAAACCAACAACAGAAGTAAGGAACTTGGGTGTTATTTTTAATAACAAATGTGAAATGACATCACACATTAACAAAGTATGTAAAACAGCATATTTTAGTCTCCAACGGATATCCAAGATCTTTCACCTTATTAACACCAAGCAAACTGAATTACTCATCCATGCATTTGTAACCTCTAGACTGGATTATTGCAATAGCCTATTGTTTGGAATACCTAACTATCAAATGGAAAAGCTACAATCAATTCAGAACTCTGCTGCTCGTCTCCTCTGTAAAGCTCAGAAGTCCGACCACATCACACCAATTCTGCGAAACCTCCACTGGCTACCCGTGTCTCAACGAATAGTTTTTAAAATATTACTTTTGACTTTTAAGATTTTAAAGGGCGACTGTCCATTTTACTTAAATTCTACCATAGAACTTTTAACTCCTATCAGATCACTTCGATCTAGTGGACAACTTCAACTTAAGCGAAAAGACACCAAAAAGACTCTTAAAACATATGGACACAGAAGTTTCGAGATTTGTGCACCGATTTTATGGTCTAATTTTATCACAAGATCTAATGTGTCTCTGGATGACTCATATTACTGTTTTAAGAAGAATTTAAAAACTTTTTTATTTAAAGAATACTTTAATTTATAGCATCTTCTTAGTTTTTAAATTTTTTAAGTTTTCTGTTTTAGTTTATACTGGCTTTAATTTATCTGTGGAGTTTTAATTTTTTATGTAAACAGCGCTGAGACGCATGTGTAGCGCGGTTTTAAAGAAGTGTTTTATTATTATTATTATTATTATTATTATTATTATGAAGATCTATAGACAAGAGGCTTGTTTGTACAGTAACTAGGGAACGTTTTAGACTGGTGAAAATCGCATCTTGTCTTCTCTAACACAATCCCACGACAGTGATATTATTACGTAAACCAGGTGAGCATTTTGGTGAGAGGTATTCAGATAGAACCAAGGTCAGGAGGAAGAGGAAAAAGCCTCATATGCCACATTGCCACTATTTCCACACTTAGACCGAAATTTTGGCACTGAGAACTGATGTATTTGTTGTAAGTACTGTATAGATGATATAAGACAACACTGGTCGTTTTATGTTGACAATATTTTATCAAAAAAAGTATGCATTTCCCATTTCAGGGGTAGGGGCTCTTCTGTATATTTATTGACACGAATGTCAAAATGAGCTTGAAATTTTAATAGTTTTCCCTGTTACTTTTCCAGAAGGAAATTATTTGCTCACAAAGAAGTGAGAAGATTATCCCAGCGTCCAAAGGTCTTAAAGCGTTATTCCGACTTGAACAAAGCATGAAGACAAAGCAGGTAACAGCCGGTACATTTTTTTCTTACGATAGCGGCTTGTACAAATACATCTTGTTAATTAAAGTTAACTGACAATAAACAAATGGTTTTCTAGAGAACTAGTCGCGGCCAGGAAAGAAAACTTACTTTACTTGGTACTGTCGACCTCCCTTGACTTCAATTTGATGATTTCATTGACATTCCTTCTTTTATATTTTGACAATATTTCCCCAAAACTGTAAGCTACAGTTTATATTGAAGTCGTACTGACCATGGGGGCATGTAACTGACGTGAACGTCACTTTCTCTAAGATGCCCAAAGTGAGCTTGAAGAAAATGTTTATTTTCTGTTATTTTTCCAGAGGGAACACTTTTGCCAATAAATCAGAAATATCATTCCAGCTGTCCGCAGTCTGATTGGGTTATTCCGGCTTAAACAAAGCAAGACAACTGGGCAGGTAACTTGTCAAATGCTTAATTTATTGCAAATATACAGAAGTTCAAACACTGGTATCTTTTGTGACAGTTCGTTTTCTGTTTTATGGTAGAATGATTTGCGTAGTCAAATATGCAGTCTTCATCAAAATACTTCTCGTGGAGGGATATGGCTTTGCAAAGATAGATACATTTAAAGATTATTATGTTGACGTGTAACAGTGTGTACAGGGCATGCAATAGTAATGATGGCGTTGTAAAGTGTGTCATTGTATAGAACCTGTAGGTGCAATATGCCGAGGATATATCTATTTTTATAACATGATTTTCATAGCTGTTTTAACATGCATTAAAATGCATACCGAGATGGATCGGTGTAAAGATTATATTTCACTTTATCAAATCCTTTGGTATTGTTTCATTTCTTCTCGCATGTGAATTTTGTTTAATGTATTTCATTTTTTATTTAATTTCAGAAGCTCGTAACAACTGTCTACGATGAAATTGGACGCACTCCCAGCAAAGACATAAGATTAGTGTTCCCCAGCGCCCGCACCCATGTCAACGTTGTCTTGCGTGTCGAAGTTTGTCGTATAGTCAACTTGCAGGGTTGACATTTGATTTGGTTTGAAATGTAATATTTGCTTTGGGTAGTAATATTCTGCATCAAACCGTGTATAAAAAAGTACAGCGTGTTTTATTCATGAAACTTCTGATAAAATGGATCAAATCCAAGCGTCAACCCTGCACGTGGTTGGTTTATTATTATACATGCGTAAATAAGCTGTAGCACAGCACTCTCTATCCGCACGTTTTTATTGTAGTTTATATTGGTTTTTTTTTTTTTTTTTTTTTTTTTTTTTTTTTTTTGTTCACACCCACCAGTTAACGAACCTGAAACGACACTTTTGAGGTTATTCTTAAACAAAAAAAGTGCCTTGTTTAAGTGATCTATGAACATAAAATCAATTGTTGTAAAATTTATCATAAAGTGATGTGCAGGTAGAGCACTGTGCTTATACGACCGGTTTAATGTTTTATTGTAAAATTTTGTGTGGGCTAATATGTAATAAGACGCTTTGTTATGCACTTGAAAATGCAGGATTATTTATATTAAATTGGAGACAAATATTGATTTTCATGAAGTTGGCTTAAGAAAAAAAATACGTTCAACTCCATTACGTAAAATGCATACAGGAATCTTTTATTGTGGGTTTATTGGAAGAAATAGGAACGAGATATAAATTTACAATAAACTGTAACGCTATAATTCAAATTATGACACTTAAGAATTAACGGTAGTATGAAATTGTGAAATGTGCCCAGCTTATTACACAATTGCCCACACGTATTAAAACGGGTCTTTTTAAACTTGTGAATATGCGGTTATGACGCACGGTAAAATAAACTTCCTTTGGTTCCCGATGGTTTGATATACTATTTTATTAAAAGAAAGAGTGATTTTTTGCCTTCTTGCAATGTGGAAATGTTAAATGTCACAAAGAGAAACAGTGTATTGAAGAATGTGTTTACTTTTGTCATCTTTTGTCAATTTAATTGTATATGTAGGACTGACATTTATCGCATCCTTTTACAACTTGAAAATTTGAAAAAGCTATATCAAATACGTTTCGATAACTACAGTTGTCGCAAAGCTCTGTTTTGGGGGGAACGGGTATTTCCTAGTAATTAAACGAACTTTTGTGGACCGTCAACTTTTGTCAATCCTCTAGAGATGACGAAATTAGATCTTTATTGAAATAATACGAAAAGAGCGTGTTTTTTTTTTTTACTCACTTATTGTCCAAGAATCCTTTTAATTTTGTGGTATTTTGTTTGTCTAATCAAATATGAAAAATCAGCATTCCGCCAGATAGAAGACACTTTGATTGGTTAGACTATTTTTTTTTACAAATAAATTGCAAAGGTCAGTGTTTTTTAATGTTGATCTTGTACTTAATACTTTCTTAATTCTATATTTCGGTCGGGATCAAGTTGTGTTTGAGAACAAAAGGTCTGATTAGGTGCCAGTCCTGCACGTGCTGTTGGGTTGTTTTGGCTGTGTGTTTCTTGATAACTGAACACCAGATATTAGAGTTGAGTTTATGAGCGTTTTTAGTACAAGTGCTCAGTTATTTTAAGTGAATTGGTTTTTGCATAACTTTTTCAATTTTGTTTACATATTATTCTTATAAAAAGTTCATGACTGGGATAAGGTTGTAAAGTGACCATGTCTTTATGCTGTTCTTGATTAGCACAACGCGTAAATTTAAGGGTTCACTCAAAATTATGTCACCAATTTTCTGTTTTATTATAAGATTTAAAGGGAAGAAAAATGACCAAGAAATATGAGGTACTTATTCATTTATCTATGAGAAATATATTCATCAAATTTACAGAATTGAATAACGTTTGGCTGCTGTTTGGTGTTGTGTTCTATCATCAGCATGGTGACATAGAGTAAGGTGTGGTGTCATGAGTGTGTACCCGCGTGCAGGGTAACGCTGACATCAGCTCATATGCATTTCTATACTGTTACCACCCTTGAATTTGGAGAAAAATGTCCCTCGGTGAAATTTTGGATCAGTCACAAGACAAATACACCCATTTCAACTTTGAACGATTGCTGTAAAATACATCGTCAAATATCCAACTTTCTTTTTTAACTCTGAGCAAAAACTTGAGAATTTCATGTCGTCCGCTGTGTTCTAAGAAACTTTAAAACCAAAGCGATTGATGTTGAACGACAATTTTCAAAATGCATAGAACGTCCCACAAATTAAGCTATGGATAGTTGTATATAAGCTTGGTATATTTATCGAAATGCTAAGTAGTTATGAAAATTGTTTTTATGTAGAACCAAAACGTAATGTTCAGTTTTTGTATACATCTGTATAGTGCAATTGCTTGTATATAAACGTTCAAATAATAATATAATCACAAAAGTTGAAGTAGATGTAGTTTTAAAATGTCCATTCATTTTTTCTTAACTTTCTTTTCTTCAGCTCGACTCGTACCTTTGGTTATCGTATGCTTTTTTCTGCATCTTAGTCTACCGCCTTACCTATTGAGCCACTGTCTCTGCTCGTTTTTTGTACATTTGCATGATCCTCTTGTTCAAGTTTAATGTCTATTTTAGGTTTATTTTTGCAAAAGGTAATTTGCTGGGACCTAGGAGCGCCAGGAATCGAACTGGGGACCTTCTGTCTCCGAGGCAAGCGCGTTACCTACTCCTCTAAGTGTTCCCACCCACCCTCCCCGGGTAGACTTTCTTCTTATAGTAACCAAAGGAAGATTTTAATTGCACCCATTTGTAATTCCAAAGTGCCCGAGCCAGGAATCGAACCCCAACCCCAGGCTACCACTGAGCCATGTAGCCGTCAGTAAAAACACTAAGATATTTTGTATATTCAATAAGTGTTTTATTAAGAACAAAATCAATTGATATTATGTATTCAATTATTTATAAAACATATACCTGTAAAACTTTGTCTTCAGTCTTTTTATTACCATTAAGTTGAAAAGGTTCAAGGATGTAAAAGAAAATCATTGATAGCCGCATAAAGACTCGTTCAAAGGTGTAGCAAACAGCTAGCATTCTTGTCTATTCGACTTAAAAAAGAAACTACTGCTTTACTGGTCTTAATGAAACAAAACAATTTTTTCAACATCTTCATTAAAAAAAAACAATGGTGGATCTAACCCCCCACCCCCTCCCCCAAGGACTCACATGATCAAGTCCCAAAAATACTAGTTTGCCCAAAATTTCAACATTTGACCCCTTTATAAGCTTGGATCCGCCATTGTATTTCTCTATATAGATATGAAATAATATACAGTTTTTATTAATTTCTCCTTTGAAAATTAAACGTTTTCAAAAGCACTATACATACAGCTTGGAAGTAAAAAAGTACAGATCTTTGTTTTCCGTCTCAAAAATCTTACGTTCACAGCATTAAGCCCGCTATTGACAAAACTGAATGAATAATAAACATTACATTGGATTATGAAAATAGAATACATTCCATTACAAAATTTATTAAAACTATAAACAACATGTACACTTATGAAATCTGGGTTAAAATCCGAGGGATAGATTACGATATTTCTCATATTTCCTACATCCATTTTCAAATTGAAAAATCTTGTAACACGTTTTGCAACCTTCTAGGAATAAATTGTTCTAAATGCGAAAAAATATCCATTATTTCTCCATCATCTGGCAGTTAGAATGAAAGAGTCTTGTAAAACCCCATTTACACTGGACGGCGTCCTTTCTGAGTCCTTTGTGCGACCATGAAACTGCGTGGCATCGCTGTGGTCGTAGAAAGGAGGCACAAGCATCGCTTTGGTTGTACATGTAAAATGAACGCACGTAAAGTATTATTTTTTACTGTCAAACGGGGCGATACTACGGGACGCAGAAAGGACGCCGTCCAGTGTAAAGGGGGCTTAAGAGAGAATTGCCGAAAATAGTCATATTTGGAAAATGAAACAATTTTCAATCACGTGAATGATCCCTTCATATTTACCCGGAACCTGTATTTGTTCAACAAATCAATGATGCAAATGTCAATAACATTACAGGATAAAACTTTTCATATTTTAACTACATGCAGAGATAAATACTTAAAAGAGAAACAAGTTCTTTTCCTTCTTGTGCAAGTTATTTACCAAATCAGCTTTTCAATTAGGGAATTTTCACAAAAGGAAATTAAAATTTGTAAGTTACTCACATTTCACTAGTAAAACAAAATATTTTTCCTTGTTACATAAAACGACATCTATTACTCAACAAGACAGAAAATGTTCAAATTTCAAGAGATGATATGTCTTTTTTCTTATCTTAGCATTAAAAGAAAAACACACAATTAATGTCAGTTTTTTATATAAAAGCAGAAATTAATATTCTGTTTTGAATACTGTAAATACCGTGAATACCCTTGGTGATTAAGGTGAACTTGCATTAATTTGCTGCTAATTTCGCATTCGATCTGAACACCCGCTGTCTTGCTGAAGAATACCGTAATAGTACTATTTCACAAATGTCACGGTGAAAAACATGAAACTACATGTACGATAGTACAGAACATATTACAATGCATTACTGAAATAAAGCATTCTTTGGAAACTGTAGACCTTGCATTCTTGAATAGAACTACATGTACGTCTCAATATATACTACATTTTATTTGCAAAAAAAATCAAATTCGTCATGTTACATTGATGAAAAAAAACATCTTTGGTCAAATTCGTCCCAAACGGTATTTTGCGCAATAGTCTTGAAGGGTTCATCTTATAATCAATATGACTTCAATTTAGCCCACACATTTTAATGAAATGAAATATGAATTCTTCATTTATGAAATCCTGCCAGTATTATAAATGGAAATACGGTGCTACACCCCCCTTAATAATTGAATTATGTGCTTTACTTCGGAAATGGACGTTTGTTACTATACCTATGTAATATTTTTTTAATTTCACTATCAACCATTCTGTCACTAAATATCAACACCGTCACGCAAATAGCTACAATTTCAACAGGACATCTCACAGCATTTCCCCTCCTTGACCATTTCTCACGGTAAACTTCGGATGCCACCAGTATTTCTACCAACGAAGTTCAAAACACTGAACATGAATTGAAACTACACTGTACATTTTCACATTTGTATAAGACGTGATGAGCTGACTGAAGGAGGAAACGAAGTGGTACGTGGGGAAATGTTGAGGAATGACCTAAACCACATTT